TTGTTTGTTGCCCTTTAAAAGAGGTATTATGCAGAAGGTATCCTTTCCAATGAGCTCGATTGTTTTGTTGACAAGACATTGGAACTTTTTTCCCGAATATAAATAGGCGAAGGCTTTGACTTCCCTTTCTCGACCTCGGTAGATTCGGTCGCCTCCTCGTCAGAGGCGTCTGACAAGATTTTAAATCGGGTTGTATTCATTGGCGTTTCTATTGCAGCTAGGCTAGCATTACTTCGGGTTATTTTGCGTTGAGAACTTAGGGGGCTCAGCTTCATTTTGATTTGGACGTAGCGATCCCTACCAGTCTGCACAGCCGGCTTAACATATAAATTGTTTTTCTTTTGTTTTTCGGGCAGTGCAGCGGCAGACGTATCAATATTTGCACTGATAGCTTTTTTTTACAAAGTTGCTGATGATTTCGTTAAACTCGTAGTCGATACAGTTTCAGTTTTTGTTGTTGTTACAGTTGCCGTTGTTTAAGAAATTGCGGTGCTAGCTACGTCATTGCATTGCACATTCAGCGCTCTTTGGCTGCAGAGACATCGATGGTAGCGAGGGAGAGCAAGATCGCGCCCTTTTAAATCTATCAGTACAACAAATTAGATTTATCGGGTTTCAAAATAAATCAAAATGCTTCCGTAAATGTGATTTTAATAAGCTAAACTTACTTAAACTCAAAAGGACAGGAGAGACATATGATTTTTTTTAAATACGTGGTTGGTCGATAGGCTTTTATTGTTTTTAACAGTCAATTGTGTAAAGCCGAATTCTCTAATGATCAGAATTTTATTTTATTTCTTTTCGCATGATATTTAGAAAAAACTCCGCTTTGCTTTCATCAGTACGATTAAACTTAACTGACACGTCAACTGATTTTGAAAGTGTTGATTTAGTCGCCAATTTCGTTCAAACTTCCTTTGTTGCAGATTCTTGTCTAATTGTCAAATTTTAATTCTTCCCAGGTCATAATAGAAAGTTCTCCCTTTAGGGATTTTGAGCCCACAGCTCCAACACATTCTCTAGCGATGAATGGGCTCCTGGGTTAGGTTTTGGGCCTCAACCTATTCTTAAACTGTTTTAATTGTTTACGTCAACATCAGTTTTTCCAACTATTTGGAAAGATTCTTATATTTCTCCAATCCATAAAAAAAGGGAAATGGGATGTTCAATGTTATATTTCTAAATGGTTTGCAATACCAAAAACAATTTTTTTTCCTCTTTGCTAATATATCCATATCAACATGGTTTTGTTAGGCAAACGTCAACAATATTATACGAGTTGAGTATAGAATCATGGAATCATGGAGCCACAGTTCCTGTCATGAGCTATGATTCCATTGACTTGTAAGAAACAAATCAGCTTGAGTAACTCAGAACAACAAAGCAAATACGTCAATCCAGGTCATATTACTAACAAATAGACAACTCAAACCGCTCATATCAAAATATCTGACCAGGCAAAGATTATTAGGGCAATTTCTTCAGCTGAATATGGTCTAATATATTCTTAGAAGCCGGAATGATTGCCAATAATAGCGAAATAATTATATAGCTAGAATGCGAACACCTTAAAAATAATTTTGAAAACCTATGACTCTGCTTAACAAACCTGGAGGGAAATGAATAACACTAGTTTACAAATCTAAAATGATGAAATCCTTCAGAAATCAAACCTTGATTTTCCGGTGCAGATCGACTCCCTGATTCAAAAATGATACTCAAATTTTTTGTATGATACCATTTTTCTTAAGTGCAAAAAACGTTTTTCACATGTTTTTATGCCAATTTTATTTTTTATGTGCAGTTCTGCTTGACTGATTTTGGTCATTGACAGCTCATATTATTAGATACATATCATTCTTCAAATTTTCTAATATAGAGTTTGACAAAGTTTTAACATTTTGCTAAAACTGAAGTGCCAACAACATAAACTAATTCTTAAAAAATACACGCTATCTTGAAGATCGAACATTCACAATCCGTTTTTTTGTGTTAAAAAATTATGTCTTTAAATTCTGCGAAGTGAACAATTTTTAACCAGTCCAAAAGTTTGTAGTTCATTGTAGGTAGGACCCATTTAAGATGATTGAGTGTTAATTTGAAACCGATCGGTCAACTTGTAGCTCAAAAATTGTACTGTGCTTAAAAATACTGCGTACATTTTTTTCATTATATCATAGTTCTATGTTCTATGTCTATGTCTAACAAATCTATGTACCACCTTTAGCCATACCTTGAGCTGGAGTAAGAATATTTTCAAAGCAACTGGACGAACCTATGGCTTGATGCGTCAGCACTCTGCGTTGAAAGACCATCTGCCACTGCATAGTAGGATGTTAGTATCCAAAGTAATCCTAATTACCACAATTTTTTATGGGGTAGAAATTTTGGGTCTCTGTGATTCTAGTGATATTCATACGTTAATTTTAGGCTCAAACTCTAAAATCAGATATGTGTTTAGCCGGTATTGACTTGACCATGTATCGCAATTAACTAGAAAACTTCTAGATAAGCATAAACTTGTTATTTCACAGCAGCCATTGTATCTCTTCAAAAAGCTCTTCCCTGCAGCATCCACTAGTACTCATAAGTTTATATGCCCAAGACCTAAGTCGATGGGTTCAAATAGACAACTTTTTATCAATGCAATACGCCTCTGGAAAAATCTACAACATAAATTCAAAATTCAAGAATATTTAAAATAAATAAAAACTGATGAGGGGAGAATTATTTTTGCCCGAGTGAACCCATTAAAAATTATTATATAATTTTTAAACGCGACTCCGCGCGGAGTTTTGGCTTACAGAAACTTATCTGTTTGATGTTCTCTCAAAGTTCGCTCTTCTTATTACGTTTCTTAGATACTGTTGTACATATACACATATGTCGATAAAATGGGAATTGAATTCAACACCTCTTCTTAATGTTACCATGTCTACATTTCTCAATACAACATTTACATAATGTTCATAAACTTAATCAATTTCTCGTGTTTCATTTTTAACAAGTTCGTAGTAAGCACATCGGCTATCATATCTTTTGTTGATACATATTTCATATCTACATCGCTTTGCTGAATAACTTATTTGGCTAAATTCTGAGCGCTGAGATTGTCCCCGTAGAGAATCGTAGGTATCCTTCCTCCCACAACCGAACTCGATGATTAAACGTCTCAGAAGTAGCGCCTCTTTTACAGCTGCTGACAGCGTTATGTATTCGGACTCCGTGCTGCTCAAGGCAACGCTGTCTTGCTTTTCCGACTTCCAAGAAATGGGTCCTCCTAACAAAAGGAAAATGAATTCTGTTTATGACCGTCGGTGACTAACGTCGCCGACCCGGTCGGCATCAAGGTAGCCTAGCAAAGGCAAATCTCCAGCGCAATAGCTCAACCTAGTGTCAAGTACCGCATCACATGCTTAACAATCAAGACATGTTCGCCGTGCGTGTCCTTATTTCGTTGAGCCAATTTCATCACAGAATGGTAGATATCTGGTCTTGAGGTTAATGCAAGTCACATTAATTCTCCTATAGCACACTGCTTGTTTTAGCCCATATATGGCTCTTTTCAGCCTCAGCACCTTGCCCTTGCTAGTTGCGTTCTCAAAGTTCTTTGGCTGCTTCATGTACACAGTCTCGCTCAAAACACTATAAAGGTAGGTTGGTAAAGATATATCTTTAACTTCGCCGATAGCGCCAACACGAGGCTCACAGTCTCATATCGGCACACTGGTAAGAAAGTTTCTCCGTAATACTCCGTAACTCCAAATTTTTGGGAGCAACCCTTTGCTATTAAACGGGATTTGCACCGCTCCGGATTTCCTTCGTTGTCTCTTTTTAAGTAAAAAACCATCGGCATCCTATCGCCTTTTGACCCTTGGGCAACTCGAGCGAGTCGAACTCCGACTACATGGCTGCCTTCCAAAAGGTAGGTTACTGGCTATTTAGCGCTGCATCACAACTTTGCGGAAGTTTAATTTCGGCTCTGGTCATGGCGTTTATAACGTTAAACTCCTTCCGAATTATTATGGGCCTCGCTGGCCCAATTCTGACTGCCTCTGCTTCTGAACGCACCTTTTTCTCATCCTGCTGGTCACGGTTTGTGCCCTTTTAAGGCTCTTCTGATCCGGGTTCTCCTTTTTATCATCTGAATGCTGCTCGCCTTTATCGCGCTGCAACTCTTGTTTGAGTGTATTGGTTGCTTCCCTCGACGACTTTTGTGCTACTGGGAATTCAAAGATTTTAGGCTCATCTTGTACCTCATTAAGAATAACTCAATAACACTTCCTTAAAAAATAAAACGAGCGTCTTTTTCGTTTTCAGCAAGCTCGAAAAGCGCTAAAAAATTTTTTTCCAAAGTCTCCGCAATTAAAAAGTTTTTAAGCTAGTATAATACAGCTTGGAGCTCTAATCGATTTTGTTTCATTGCCACTTTCGTTTCACATTTAATGATGCATGGCATGTTCAGTTTAAGCCAATTCTTCAATATATCTAATCAACAATTTGGCTTCTAGTATGGCAGAAATCAGCGCCGTCTGGATAAGTAAAATTATTTGTATTAACACCTGGATCCGTGTAAAAAAGGTAATCGCGTTTGACTCCCTCCATCCAATTGCAAATACAAAATACTATTGTTTGAAGAATATTTTTTTAGCACACAACACATAAAGATTTTAAACTCTCCTGTTCGTGCTAGTACCTTAGACTTGTTGTTGGCCTTTAACCCCCCCAATATTGAACACCTGTTTATTTTATAAACCTATTTTGTAATGACATTATTAGATTTCAGGAAAAGTTATACCCTCAAATATCCATTAACATGTGCTTAAATACAGGAGAAGTGAAACCGGAAAAAGCCTGTCTTGTATAATCTAACTTTTTAAATAAATTGGAACCATATTTGTTAATATTTTTTATCAACTTAAAGCTCAGAAGAAAATAAATGCCAGTCTTTTCTTACGTTTTTTTTACGTATTTTGTTCACATTGGTTTATTTAACTTACTGCGTCACCATTTTCTTGAATGTACAAGCTCACAACGTCTTCCCTAAGGAGTTTTACAGCAGCATGGAGTGGATATTTTGTTTTAGTCCTGAGCATTTCAAACAACAAAGGCCCGGCCATATGCTCAAAGTCTTGTGTTGTGAGGTCATCCCAGTGTGCTGATATTATGCCAGAGCAAAATTCTAACAATGTTGATGCACCAACTTCTTTAGCAACACAATAAAATCGTACACATGACCTTACTCCTACAGAAGCAACTAAAGCTCGCTCACACAGTCCCAAAAGAGATGGTAGACCGAATCGATGTGCGGCTATAAGAACATCCAAAGCTAGTCCGTCATGCTGCAAATCAATAAGATCAGTGTATATCCATCGCAAAAGTGCCAACCCAACATCTTCATTTAAATCGCTCCAGTCCAGCTCTTCTATGCTGCCTAGAACATCATCTCTCCATTTTTCTGAGCGCGCATGAAGGACGATTTTATGTGCCGGGTATACTTTCGCATGTGTTCGGATGTAAATATCAGCATAAGTATGGCTTCCAAATAATGAAGCAACCGTTAACGACAAACGGGAAACAAAATTGTCATTGGCTGATGGAGCTAAAATTTCGTTGTACTTTCTTTCTAATTCCGTATAGCTGCGCTTCTGCTTCGCATATTCTTCCTTTAACAATTCCAAATCTTCCTCCAGTTGTTGAACGGAATTTCTGTCACTTATCCCTTTAAATAAACATTAAAGCAATACAAATTAATAACAAATTATCGTCATACTACATAAGAATATTTAATCAGTTCTAAAATTGTACATTTTAGTAAATTGGTCAGACTTTTGTAGTGCTGTGACAAAGACATTAATGATCCTATATATTATGTCTCGGGGGTGCCAAAGAAATTGTGTTTAGAACAAAAGTTTTGTGCAAGCCCAACCGTATTTGGTTATCAGTTCTGGTACACATGCGTTTATTTTATATTACATGAACGCATTCAAGGAGATATATTGTTTATTGAGGGTACCATTAGCAATAGCTAATCAAGGCTACTTGAATTTGTTTTTAACAAGTAAGGCTTAGTGCCTAGTTTATTTATTATAATATGTGAATTAAGTTAATCAAAACGCAAGGGAACTCAGTTACTTAACTTCGAACAACTGAGTTGTACTTCACTGGACCAACGATTGACCTTCCGAAGTACCGACTATTATACTCGGGCTTGAGAACTTGAACTCAGACTTGATCACTTGAACTCCGACTTGATTTATCTCTATTGTTGTTTTCTTATTCTCAATTGGGCAGGCAACACTCCCGAAACACCCAACAGCTGTGATTGGGGACAACATTTTTTTTAAAAATTCTAAACATTTTACAAAAGATTGATTAATGTCTCAAATGATAATCATATAACGCCTTTTTAGGTATAAAAAATTCATGGAAGAAAATACTTTAATTTGATTTTTCACAAATTTAGATTTTTCAACAAGAGGCTATAATATTATTACAGGCTTTTCGATTTATTTTTTTACTCTCACCAAAAAGAGCTCAAAACGTTTCGCAAAAATGCTCTTTTTATTTTTTTAAATAAGAATACCGATACCAGATCAGGTGTAATATAATGCTTTACAGGTTTTTGAGATTCTTGTCACAGTCCCGAGTTTTTTTTTAATCGCGGTCCACTAAAAATATGTTTGTTACTATTAGTCAGGAAGAGCAGGTCAGAGATTTATGGACATAACCGCAAATAGTTCATTGATCAGCCAACTAAGTCTAATTTTAGATTATTATTTTGACAATGAAAGAAAAGGTAATTGTATTATATTTTTTTTAGCAATTAATTGAAAAGCCTACTTATTTTTAAAGTGAAAATCACAAATTCGACAGCAAAATAATTACAAATGACAGCCCCATTTTTATACCCTTACAGACGGTATAGTGAAGAAGACATTTATTCACTCGCATCATTAGGAGAGTCGATCTAGACATGTGCGTTTTTACGCAACCTATCTCAGTTTTACAGCTATATGAATGAAACTTTCCCAAAAGTTGTCTTCCTGCTGCAGGCAGTATACGTCCGGATCCAACGACTACGGAATATAGCAAATCGCTGTGCGCGCACCGAAAAACATGTGTTTCTCAAAATTTTGTTAAAGTTGTCAATTCTTTTTTTATTGGGTTTAAAATGAATAAATGTTCATTTTTTTGATAAGTGAAAAATCTGTAGCTGGTCCAGAATACTGTCAAAAAAGAGATATAAAAATAACAAATGGTTTTTTTATCTACGTTTTTTATAACAAAGAAATATATTTAAGTAGTATTTGCTGTAGAAATCATCAATATAGCTCCTACCAATCAAAAGTTATTAGATAGAGAGTAACTGCTATATTTTAAAAAAAGTGACCAAAGTTGACTTTTTAAACCTGTGTAACTTCCGTAAAACTTTAAAATTCTCAAAGCCGGCCCAAATGTATTTTTTTGTTTTGAACCCAAAAAGCATAAAAAACAAACCTTTTAGTTTTATGTGGCCCAATTGACAAATTTTCACTCATAGTTATTTGAAATATTTTAATGGTATTTTATTTTAGAACTACGGTTTTTAAAATCGGACGCCTTTATCATATATTATGAACACAATCGGAATGTTAAAAAACTAACTGAAAAAAAAGGTAACTTTTCTATTTTTCACGTTTTTTTTTTCTTTTCGATTTAATGGCAAATAGTTCAGTATAACGCCTATAATTTTATTCAATTCGGAACAACATATCATATATCTGTCATAGGAACGATCGAATAATTGAGCTGAAACTTATCATAGCATAAAAGTTTTTAGACATATGCTATTATAATTCTTTTTTTTCTTAAATTTTTTAGAGTTTAATTTTGATTAATATCGGACGACAATATCATATAGCTCCCATTGAAACAATCGGAATGTTAAAAAAAAAATGAAAAACAATTTTAACTTTTCTATTTTTGACACTTTTTTTATTTCCTTTGGATATGTTGTTAATAGTTTAGTAATTCAGAAATTCATTTTTAATTTTATTCAAATCAGAAAACGACATTGAGCGAATAATTGAGCCGAAATCAACTTATATAAATCGGAATTAAGATGTTTTAAAGAATATTAAACTTTTTCGGCTTGACGAATTCTGCTTCTTTTCGCTGTTCTGTAAATTTTTGGTACACAAAGCTTTTTTTGTGCTGCACAAAAAATTCCGTCAGGGCGGTGTATAAGTTAATTCAAAGCTTTAGTTAATTTAACTTTGTTTAACAAAAATTTGAACACAAAACTTGAAAAGAGTTCCGCAAAAATATCTGCACTGCAAATCACGGCGTGATTTACAAAATGAACAAACTTTCTTTAAGACACTTTCGTCTTTACTGGACATTATACTGGCACCAAAACTGTTGGAGACTTTTAGGGTCAAATCACGATACAAGCAATGATGTTGACCCTACAATAAAACTTAAATTCAAGTACTTGTGGGACAAAACATCGTTAATGCATACGGCAGCCGATTACAGCGAATCGCTGGATTTGGGCTATTTAACTAAGTAAAAAACTAGAGAGGACGCTATAGTCGAGTTCCCCCACTATTAGATACCCGTTACTCAGAAATCAAATTTCCAAATAAATGGGAACCATTGAAAGAGTAAGTAGATTACTATTGTTTAATTTAGCTACTCTTGTAAATCGTTGAATAATGCTAGGATCTATTTTTATGCATAATCTGACAAAGGTGATATTGATTCCATAGAATTGGTAGGCCGCTTTACTTTTTTTTTTTTTTTTGCCTTTAGACTAACCCGCAATTGGGGTAGATACCATACTCTTAACTTGCCAAGATGTACCTAAAATTTCGACCTGCATGAACCCTTTCGTGATTTTTGTAGTGATTATAATAATCTATATATTTAAATTTTGCATTTCAACCTCTATCCCTGTCTTAAAAACTACAGTTCTAACATTTATTGCACCGTACTTAGTTTTAGTTCTAGTATAAATGTCTCTATATTATGGTACTTGTGTTTTCCTCGCGAACTCGATAACTGCCACTATGCTTATAGGGCCCTCGCGTAACAAGCTCGTGCTTGGTTCTAGACGTTCATACAATTATAGCTGGCGCCATCTGCAGAACTTCATTGGAAACACTACAAGCAAAGAGCGAGGATGCAGAGCAGTGCCGGAGCAATGACAGAGCACACACACATTGACAAGTTTCCCCACATTGTGCGCGATCCGCTGCTTATCATGATCGAACTCCGTTTGCAGTGATGTCATAGCCAAACATAAAATGCCAATAACTTCTAAAATAATAGCTCAATATTAAAATTGTTTGTGCAAACGAAGATTAAACCGAAGCGCACACACAGTTCCTAATAACTGTGTCCTTTCTTGTCTCAGAGTGATTTCGCGAACTATGGGTTTTAGAGTGTACGCGTCAAATCCCAAATATCTAGTACAAACCGACAAACAGACCCACATGGCTGATCAAGAATATATACATATACTTTATATACACCTGTTACATACTGTACATATAACTAACTAATAAATACTTACACATTTCTAAAAAAAAAAAAAATAATGAAAAAAAAAAAATGCATTAATAAGCTATATTTTTCTCGTCCAGGCAAAGAATATGTGCAATAGAAGATGTCACATATCTGAAGACCAAGTAAAAGCTTTCCCAGATCAACAAAATCTGAACTTGTTTTTCCCCCAAGACTAAGTGAAAATGATTCTAATAGAATTTTTTCAGCTGACTACTAATCCGAAACCGAAAAAATCATGGTGAAAGTCTCAAATATTAATCATTAAGGTAATTTTGAAGCTTAATAATAACGAATTTTTACGTGTTCCCAGACCTGTACTTTAACTAAACTTAACATTAAACATTTGACTTTATTGTTAAATAATAACATTTCATGAGGGTCCCTTGGTTTATTAGAAAATTTCACTTTACTAAGTTCATTTTTGTCACTATATTTTTAAATAATTATTTTAAAATTATTATTTTTCTAGATTAAACTTTGATATAATAAAACTAGTGTATACCCGTTACTTGTAAACTAAAAGGGTATAGAGAATATATATATTCTAGATCAGGATCAATAGCCCAATCGATCTAGCCTTATCCGCGTGTCCGTTCGCAATGAAAGTCGAGATCTTGAAAACTATAAAAGCTTGCGATTTTTGATTTGGTATATAGCGCAAAACGTTGCCACACCTATTCTAACGCCCACAAATCGCGAAATCACTTTCAGACATTTAAGACGTTTGTTTTAAGGCACTGAGCGTGTGTTTCGGTTACATTTATCGGTAGACACATTTTCAAAATCCAGCTATTTAGGAAGTTATAGGCAATTATTTTTATCCCCTTGCAGAGGGTATTATAATTTTAGTCAGACCCTATAAAGTATATATACTCCAGATCCGCTTCACTAGGACAGCTGATCTTGCCACGTCCGTCTTCCCTTTCTACGCAAACTTTTTTCTCAGTTTTTAAGCTATTTGCTTGAAACTTTCCTATTGCAGATAATATATACTATACTATAAGTCGGAACGAGACGGATCGGCCGACTATAGCATATAGCTCCAAAAATTATACCTTTGGTGTTTTTTATTTTTTTTTTTTAGTTCTTCAAGATATAGTAATGGGTTAATATTTGAGCGACTGGACCTTAACTTCGTCAACATTAATAGGCACAATTTTCGGATCAGGA